ATAAGAGGTATATATACACAGCAGACTTACCTTTGTTCCTTGACAGCTTTCTACCATCCCTCCACCACCTCATCTCCTCACTTCTAACTATTCCACTCTCAACCAGGGGGGTACTCTGGGTTCGGGCCAAATTCCGAGGACGGAGCCCTCCCCTTGGACAGCACACCAAATACGCATAACCTTTACTCTATTTATTATATGTAGTGTGAACTCGTGAAAACCCCATATAGAGGACAAAAACATGACAAACTCAAGCCCTAAAAAGTGAGCACACGCTTTGGACATGCAATTTTGAGAACACTAAGGAAATATCACATTCTTTTTGCCTGTTTGGACACTTCAAGACGTTTGCCTTTGATGTTTGATTTACCTGTTTACACGGTCAGAACCGTGTTTTCGGTGACTCAAAACCGCGCGTTTTATAGCAAATCACACATCGAGTTTCCGATGCATGTTTTCCATGACCCCAAAGCGCACGTCAAGAACACGTGTTTTTATGGCAAATCACATGCTTTTGACGGGTCAGTGTGCAATCAGACGCCTGGCCTGACCAGGCATACATGAATACTTTGGCTTGCCATACTTTTAAGATTTGGAGGCGGGGATCAAGTGTCAGATGTGTCCGCTCCTGTGATTGATCACTGTCAACACTGCTTGTTAAGTCATGACCTTAGAAATATATTTTTTATTACTATTATTACATAAATAATCAAAGTACAAACAACATGGCAACACCAATACATCTTTGCTATAGAATATAAGGAACAGTTATGAAACATGAAATAGTCTAGAGCCATTGAGAGAGAGAGAAGAGTCGTGTAATCTCCATTCACTCCAATGGACCAGTTCATGGAGCCTCTCAATAGTTCACAGAAGTTAGCACCAAATACTATCAGCGGCGTAGAGGTGCAGCAGAAGAGATTGCTGTGATGAACTTTTAAAAGGTAAGACATTTATAGAATAAAATTGTATATTATCAGCACAGCTAATCAAATTATCTTGTGCATTAAAACATGCTAGTCAATTAGTAGACTAGTAGATTAGATAGATAGATAAATTAGTAGATTTAGGGGACATTATTCATTCTCTTCATGCAGTTTCATCCATCGTTGTGTAATTAAGGCTTTTAAACATGATTTTTGCAGGGTGGGGAGTTAAATGTTAGAATTGGATTGACTGCAAAGGATGCTGATGGACCTAAGTGTGAATGAAAAAAGCTGAAAATAGGGGAGCAGTTTTCATTTCAGGATCATACTAGGATAAATTAACAAAAATGTGCCATATACCACTACTGTATTATAGAAGTAATCACAGTAAACCTGTACATTATTACTGTATTTTATACTTAAACATCTTAGCTACTGTAGAAGCACTTTGTGGTTGGAGGAGCAGTGATGCCACAGGACTGATATGTGATAGATAATCACTTAATCATTTCTCCTGTGTTTTCTCCTCTATCTTGCTTTCAGTACAAGAACCACCTGAAGACACCCTTTAATGAGACATCACCCTCACAATGAGTCTCAGCTCACTAGGTTTTGTAAGTCTTTCCCTGTTCTTTGTATCTTTGTGAAAAAGTGCAAATTCCCAAGTATGATTACATCACATTTTGTATTTGTAACCTATAGCTATATTTAGATAGCTCCTGCTGACTATATCCAGCCACTTACGAAGACTTCTGATGACCCAACACCTGTGAACAGATGACCTGATTTCAGATGATGCCAATTCTGAATAAACATACAAAAATGCCCAATTTTCTGTAAAGCTGCTTTGAAACAATGTGTATAATAAAAAACGCTATACAAATAAGTGTGAACTGAATCAAACTTGATGCATAATTTTTTTCCCTCCTCGCCGCATCAGTAGGGAAACCATACATTCATACTTCTTTCTGTGAGTGACTGGAGCATTCCCATGCAGCACAGCAAATCATGGTGGAGACTATACAATAACAACATGCTTTTCAGTTGATTATACAACAACTGAATGAATCCATTGCTGTAAATAAGTGCATAACAGAAGTCAACATACATAAAATATATGATTAAATGTGTAAAAACAATGTTTTAAGTTGTTTTAAATTTGAATATACTATGAATACATTTATATATTAATAATTGAGGGGTGCACAAGAATCGAAAACATTAAACAAGATTAATTTTCACTTAATCTTAAAATTCATTCAAAAACAAAAAGTGTATGGCGATTAAACAGTTTCATAAGTAGCACACTTAAACACCACCCTTGCGAGGGAACATTTCTGCACTGCAAGAGCACAGGACATTGTTCGCGTGCAAAAATGTGCTAAAATGTCCTTCATAACAACAAACTTATACCAGCTTCTTTTTCCTTGAATTACAACTCTACTCATCTCTTTTTTTCCCCTCAGTTGCAGAGAAAGAGACACATTGGGAATGACATTGTTGCCCTGGTTTATCAGGAAGGTAATACTCCCTTCATTTCGGATGTGATCAGATCCCACTTCTTGCATTGTTTCATTGCAGTGAGAAGGATAAAGAGAAAGAATGAGGGAGAGGGAGGAGATGGAGGATCGTTTCAGGTAAAAAAAAACATACTTGCTACATTTCGCTTTATCAGCACACAGCTCCAAAGCCTCTTGTTTGATTGACAGGTATCTGTCACCGCTAGGGAGGATGTACCCCCATTTGGCCCACCCCTTCCTACACCTCCCATTTTTACAGAGGTGAGATTAAATGACTTAATTCAGAAGTTTCAGCAAGGGAGCTCTCAACTTTCTTACATCAGTCCAGTACGTCTTACATCAGTAATACCTACTCAATTTCCTTTACAAGTATGCGTAAGCACTTTACAAGTGAAGGTTTATAAAATAAAACGTGCAAGTCGCCCTCTGAATCATGCTCTGAATTTCCACTTCCAGGGCTCAGTTTTAAAAGAGTTCCTCCTGACCAAACTTATAAATGCTGAAATCTCTTGTTACAAGGCTGAGAAATTCAGTCGACTGGAGGTAACCAGACACAAAGCATGTTAACTAATCATTCATTGATGTCACAGCCTCAATTTAAAACATGTGCTTCTCTTCTCCCCTTTTATGATCTCAGTTACGTACACGTTTGTCTCTTTTGGAAGCACTGAGATCTGAACTGTCTTCCCGATCCCAATGCATGTTGGGAGAGCCGTCACAGCCCAGCATCCCCCTCACTGAAGGGGGGAGGACTGTTCCAGAGGGTGGTGGAGGATTCATTGAGAACTTTAAGGTAGATAATCTCAAACCTCAGTGAGAATAATAGACAATATGCCTTGCTATTGTTACTGGATTGTGCTTATTACTGTTTGACATTAAAACGAGCTTCAAATCAGTCACTTTATGTGACTCTCTCCATCTTAAGAGAGCTATTAGGGTGAGAAGCCACTCATTCGATACCTTGGGAGTACCAAAGAAGATAGGCAGAGTAGCAGGGCAGCGACCAAAGGTCAGCAAATACCAGTAACACACCAATGTTCTCTTAATACATGTAACAATATATTTTTGCAGTAATGCTAAAGGATGGCCATCTGTTTTTTCTTCACTGCTAAAACACTGGAAAAGGATGGTGAGAGGTGAGAACAAATACATAAAATATTGTACAGGTATCTTAAGTGCAATGCAACTTACAGTGGCTCACAGTAGTTGTCTATAGTTGAGTCATATTTTGTCTCACTCATAGCGAGCAGACAAGCAACGTGGGCTACACTGAGACAAGAGGTCAAACCAGTCCCCAGGATGACTTGTAGATGAATTATCACCATTTCTGAGTCATAAGCACAAAAAAGCCTTCCACAGACTTCAAGATCCATTGAAGAGTGCAAAGAACAATAAATAATTAAACTAAAACTTTGTGTAAGTTGTTACTAGCTGCAAGTGCAGTCAGAAAGATATGAATATATATGATTTCAGATACTGTATATTATCATTTGAATGTCTTCTTTGAAGTGGCAGAGTCGAATGATTCAATGGCTGCTTATAGCTGACGTATCCCAGTGAAGGTGGGTTTCATTTCTGGAATTGAACAAACTATTTTTTTTTGTTGCAATTTATCAAGTAAACTGTGATTAAATATTTATGTGTATTCCAAATATAATTCACTTTCATTCACAATGGGAAAAAAAAAATAAAATTCTGTATTACTCAATTTAGACTTTTCTATTTTTAATGCACTTACAAGGTCCCTGCCCGTTATGTCGTTTTAAACTACAAACTGGTATTTAAGAATAAAATGGAACCACAAACACTGGTTTGCAGCACAAATAGTTTTAGCATTTACTGGATTTTGCCATTTTTCAAGTTGTTTACCTGTAGCAGCTAATCAAAAATCTCATACGTTCACAGGAATTATTAGTTGGAACTTTAATCTAATCATCATCATCTTGTCACAGTTAAGTGACGTGACATGTGGCCAAGTATGGTGACCCATACTTGGAATTAGTGCTCTGCATTTAACCCATCCTTAGTGCACACACAGCAGTGAACACACACCCGGAGCAGTGGGCAGCCATTTTTGCTGCACCGCTCGGGGAGCAGTTGGGGGTTCGGTACCTTGCTCAAGGGCACCTCAGTCGTGGTATTGAAGGTGGGAGAGAGCGCTGTACATTCACTCCCCCCACCTACAATCCCCGCCGGTACGAAAATCGAACCCGCAACCTTTGGGTTACGAGTCCGACTCTCTAACCATTAGGCCACGACTTCCCCAAAGTCGTTTAATTTACCCATATCCTACACAGGAATGCACTTCACACAATGTAACTCAAAGTCACAAAGTAACACCTATCAAATGTTTGGGTCCATTATAGATTTGTGGTCTCTAAGATCATGCAGTCAATTTGCTAAAGTGATACTTCACTATAGTCCATGAAATAAAGTGAATGCAACATATTGCATTTAAACATTTATGGATAATTAGTTTAAAACATTGAATGAACCTACTTATAACAGTTCACATAAACGCGTAACAGTTTGACTCAAATGACAAGAGACAAGATAATTTGGAAGAAACCATTTTTATTGAAAACTTGAGGGAGCAGAGAAAAAGCAAGCACTGCCGAGTCCCTCCACCCCCCTGATAGGAATGAGTTTAATCCTCCTCTTCATCATCACCGCCTCCACCACCACCCTGGGCCTTCTTGGCATTCTTTCTCTTTACACGGCCAGGGCGGCCACCACCATACGGAGAGCGGAGAGAGAAGTCGATGTGCTTCTGGCTGTCCAGCCTCACCACAAAGGAGGGGATGTTCACAACCTGCTTACGCACCCTGCAGAACATCAGAAAAATAATTCGGCAAATGTGCAAAGGCTACTCAAGGTTTCAGAACTGATGTTGCTGATCTCGAGGCCTCATTGACGAGGAATTCTTGACACCACTGACAATCTGACAGTGTTGAGTTTAATCACTGGCCAAGAGAAGTGTAGTTTTGTTTCAGTACAAAATCTGCCAAAGTGCCCACATACATTACCTGGTAGACTGTTTTGTGCAATAAAGCACCCCAGACATCATGGGAAGCTGTAGTTTATGGGCTTATTTTTTACAAGCAAAGGTATACGGTTTAATCACCGAATTGACCTTGCAGAATATTTCGTTCCCACTCACCGGGAGGAGTTTAAACATGGTCAGCTAATGAAAGAGGAAGAAAACCTCAATACACATGTTCAGACAACCTGGATGGTAACCATTATACACACCAACACGTACAGGAAAATGCAGTTTACATGATTAAAAGTCCTGAACTATAAAGGTTCTACACATCTTGCATAATTCAGCATCTTACCGGATGTGCCTCTGACGGATGAGCACACGAGCATGGTGGATGCTTTTGGCCAGGCCAAGCTTGAAGACCTGAGTCTGCAGCCTCCTCTCCAAGAAGTCCTCCACTTTCAAGCCCAGAATGTAATCGAGCTTCATCTTGCCCTCATCCAGCACACCAATGCGCACCAGACGCCTGAGCAAAGCGTTACCTAGAAGTAAAAGTTGAACTGTTAGTGGGGAAAAGTAGTGATGGATGCAAAGCAGACATCAAATTACTATTAGCAGTTATATGGCCTCATTGACAAGGAATTCTTGGCAACACTGACAATCTGACTTGTACTATTTTAAATCACTGGCCATTAAGTTTTAGACAAATCAACTAGTTTACCCTCAAAGAGACGCTTAGGATCCTTCTCATCCAGAGTGAGAAGCTCTCTGGCAGCCTTGCGGATTTTGGCCAGAGTGAACTTCACCCGCCAGACTTCTCTCTTATTCCTGAGGCCATACTCGCCTGTGGAGAAAAATAAATCCTGATTTAAAAAAAAAAAAAAGTCAATTATTTTTCTGCAATACATTTTTTTCCTTACCAATGAGTTTCAACTCCTGGTCGAGTCGTGACTTCTCAAAGGGACGTCTGGGAGTGACGTATGTTTTACTACAAACCCAACTCCTGGCAACCGGCATGGCGACTTATTGACGCCTGCGAATAAGTAAAATAAAATTATAGTCAATAATTTTTTAATTTAAGCTTTAACACTCAGCCAGCTCATAGTACTCATATACCTTGTGTTGGTAATTACAATACGCTTTATGACGAAATATTTTATTACGGGACCAAATTCCAATCATACAATTGAAATTCCAAGTAAAATAAACCTTTAAAAAATTAAACAGTTCAAGGTAGAGATTCAATTTAATATGAAAAAGAACACAATGTATCACTTCATGACTAGGCCTGAACGCGCCTTGTGGAAACACGTTGCGCTACAGCTCGCATCTCCACATAATATAACCTACTAACGAGATACTGCGCGTATGAAACAGCCCCTTGCTATATAACATCTCCCATAATGTTTAAGTCAACATGTTAAACTTGCAAACGGTGAGAAATTAGGACAGAAATACGGAAGTGCGTGCCGCTATTACCTGTCTGTGTCAGGCTGGCAAAGGAAAGAGAACGTGCGTTTGGTCTTCCCGGATATTTATATATGCCTTTTAAACTACATTACCCACAAAGCTTTGCGAGTACGGCTAGAAGTGTCTTCCGTTAACATCACGATTTATGAATTGTTTGCTTCCCCCTGCTGGTTAAAATATGAATTTCTATAAAAAAAAAATACATGGAGAATTTTGATGTACAGTACATTAGGGTGACCATACGTGCCATTTTCCCAGGACGCGTCCTGGGAAAATGGCACGTATGGTCACCCTACAGTACATTCACAAAGGAAATTAAAAAAATAAATGCTATAATGACCTGGGCAAACAAAAGATAATTACAACTGAAGAATTTGTACTTGCAGCCTTCAGTGGAATCGGAAATATCATATTTACGAGTTCCGTGCACATGAATGACCAAACGAAGTCGTATTTACAAGCGAGAAACTTGTCTGCTGTGTTGCTGAACTGTTGTGACAATGTCATGAATGATTTTAAGTATCTGTGTTGGATTTCTGTTATAATTAGGCGCTATATAGGCCTACGAAAGAGCTTCTAGAGAACAAATCTAAAGTCACTCACCTTTCACGTTTCGCTTTATGCAAAATAAATGTTTTTGTTAGATTTCTCATGAGTTTTTTCTTCTCACAACACTGTAAAAATGTAAATGCTTCAATCTTTCTTTCTTTCTTTCTTTCTTCCTTGAGATAGGTTTATATGCCTATTTATATGCCTATTTTTCTATATGCCTGTTTATATGCATATGAAAATGCAGATTTTCAAAACAAAAAGTAACTGATGTCTGTGGTTTTACATTTTGGCCTTTTTAATGTAGCGTTTGCTTTTGTCTGTTTCAGTAGACACCAAATGACAAACATCTATGTCATTACATTTGGACTAAATTGTGTATTACTGCATGACTAGCACAACTAAGAGGAAGGGGGACTATTTAAAGGAGTGTAACACAACTCTGAACATGTGTTTCTGTCTATCAAATATATCCACTGACACGAGCACAAACACACACATGCGTTGTCCCCTAGAGATCTTTCAGTACTGATCTCCTCTGCCTTTTGTGAAACAGACTCGACACTCTGAACTCTTGGATAGGGTCTTATTTTTTTAATTCTCGTTTTTATCACCTAGAAGTTGTGACACCAGCCATTAGTGCAGTGCAGCCCACTCTTCTTCTCCTTTTCTTTTTCATGCCCCTGGATCTTTTTCCTCTTCTGTTTGGATCCTAAACTTTCTCAGTCTGGTTCTTTCTTGATTCAGAGAGCTCTTCTTCCCCTCTCTTTTTCCCCGGTCTCCCATCCCTTTTAGCTGTTCCTTTTTTCTGGCTATGCACCATGCTGTCCTCCCCTACTGTAATCCTTCAGCCTTACGGACTCCCTGTCTACCCCCAGACAGCCTCCTGCTACCCCAGCATTGTACAGGTAAACATGTCCCTTTATTCTCTATATCTTCCTCTTTCACATTCTCTTTGTAGTTTGGTAGCTTGTTTGTTTAATTTTTAACAACTTTTTCCTTGTGCAGTTTCTGTCACATATCTGGTAATATGTTGCATAAATCAACCAATCACTAGCCAGCAAAAGGCTTGTGTATGTCCTAAACGGTCATCCACCAATGGGTCTGCAATGAGGACATTAAATGTGTTTCTCTCTGCCAGTGAAGGACGCTGTGTCCTTTTGTTAGTTATATTTGTCCCTGCGAGGTGGCCTACTGAAAACAGGTTGAGTGTGTGTTTGTGTGCCGCTGTGTGATTGTATGTTTGTGTGTGTCTGAGAGAGAGAAATTCCAGGACAGCTGATAAACGGTGTGCCTGCTCTTTCTCTCTGTCACACTCATATTTTTAGTCTGTTCCTCTCACTGCAAATTCCGTCTCACACACAGATTACAGATATAGAAATATATGTAGAGTCTCAGGTTGCCTCTTGACTTTATCTGAAGCGATACACAGTGACAGATTGTCATCTAAAGAGTAGGACTTGAAACAGAGGAATTTTCTTAGTTGCTTCTGCTCCTTTAGTTGCTATTCATCTGTCATACTTTGATTTAACCTTTTGTATTAGGGCTGAACTATGTGGTTATTTTGATAGCTATGTTTGTGTTGGTGCATAATTGTATAATTTGGCTCATATACAGTATTTGTGTGTGCTTGTCTGTTTATTGATAGAATGATGAATAAATAGACATGTATTATTAAAATAAACCCCAAAATAAACCCTGATGTTAATCTGAGGTTTATTGTGTCACCCTAATGGTCTATTTTGCAATAATGACTGGCACAACCAATATTTATAAATTCTAAATGACTAAAAAAGAGACTGCAGAGTGAAATAATGTAAAGTATTAACTATTAAAAATAGTTTTCATTAATTGAAATAAAGCTGAAATAAAATAATAAATATTAGATGAAAACTTAAAGAACTTAAACGAAAATTAGAAATGTTGCCTTGGCAACTAAAACAATATAAAACTAAACTAAAATAATAATAAACTAAAAACAATAAAACTGAACATTTTTTTTTAATTTATTTTAATATAATATATTCTTAAAAATAAAAATGACAGCAAAATAACTAAAACTTAAATTAAGATAAAAGAAAAATTAAAAATATAAAAAATAAAAGCTAATTAAAAATGCAGATAAATACTATAATATCTTACAAATAATACTAAATTAAAACTGCCTTAATTGGATAAAACGTCTGTTGATGAAAATAAAAGAAACTGGTTGCCATTGGAAACAGCCAGTTATATTGTTTAGTAGTCATTATAAAACAATATCTGGCCGCAGAATGCCACAGCTGAACCAATCAGAATCAAGTATTTCAGAGAGCCTTGTAATATATGAGTATAGACTACATAAGCAGTTCTTGTCATCAGTTCTGTGTGAGTGTTTGAATGATCCCGCAGCTGTCAGATCACGCACTTGGCATCCTGCCTCTGATCTTTAACCCCAAACCTGACAGCTGAAGGGGCCAGTGTGTGTGCGTGTGTGTGTGTGTGTGTGTGTGTGTGTGAGGGGGAGGAAATCTCCTATCAGTCAGTGTGCTTGAAAATACATTTTATCTGCTAGATAGAGGCTTTATTTAAATACTCTCACAGTAACAAAGAATTAGGATGGGAAACAGAACAGTTTACAAATCTCAAATGATAACCTTTGCATGTTAGATAGCAACTAGTGTGTTTGAACAATTATCTCATGCATGTTTATGATTAGTCTCCATATCCTCTGTAGAAGAACATGGCAGGGTGTTGTTTATGTAAGTTATAAGTGTATGTAAATATCTGACCAAGTGTGTACTCTTTACTTGTTGAATAAAATCTCTAAAATCTGAAGTCTTAATTTTGATCTTTGACTTGATCTACAGCCAGCAGCAACGGCACATTTTGAGTCAGCAGTACTCAAAACGCTGTAGTGTTTCAGTTCGCAGGTCTGACAACACCTGTTTACATATCGTAAATCTTTTACAGGGGTGTCAAGTAGCTCCTGGGGCTTTTAAAAAAAAAGAAATGAAGGTAAGATGCCATGTTCTTGTAAACACTGAGTAACATTGTAATTATTGTATATAACATCCCAATGCTGAAAAATAGCTATGATGAGAAACAGACCATGATGTAACATGATACTTTTGTTTCTGCTAAAGGAATCTAAGTGTAGTGGTGATATTCAATCAAAGCTGTGTCTCTCAGTGTCATAGTTTATCAGGGAAGTCTAAATTTATCCTTATCAGCGAAACAGCTGATAAAGAGTAAACACATAAAAAGTGTGTGTTCACTTTTTTTTTTCACTCTGTGTGTGAAGAGCTTGGTTTCATTACCTTACATCTATTATTTTACCCATAATTTTATGTATTTTATTTTTTATTTTATATTGTATTTTATTTTTAACAGACTCAGTAATGAAACCTAAAAAAAAACACTGAAATGAAAGGTTTATGTCACAAAAGTCTATTAAGCAAAGCTTGACAATATCAATATAATTTAACATTTCTGCATAAAATGTATTATAGATTGTATTTGAGTGAATTTAACAGCTCCAATTTTCTTTGTTTGGAGAACTCTGAGAGAACAGTTACTTGAATGTGTTTGAGTGATCTTAACTGTTTTACCTGATCTATTTCATGCACACTGTACACACTTCAGTAGTCACAGAAATCTGGTTGGTCTGGTTTAAATAAATCAATCAATGTGATTGTTTTCCACTGAACATGAATAGCATCACTGAGTTTTACAGAGCAGTTGAGTTATTTGTATGTAAGAATCAACTTTTATCCAAACAGTTGTGTGTCTGTTGAGTGTCTAAGAGTAGGAGGGGGAAATGGGTTGATGACTGACATAAACAAATGAACACAGCTGGTGTAAAGTTCCCCCTTGAGACTGGTTTGGTGCTCTGTGATTGGTGGGTGCGAGGACTTATGGTGGGGTGGGCGGGTGAAAGCTTTGCATTAAAGCATGCGTCAGTTGTTGGTGAGTATTGGGTCGCCTGCGGAATGCACTGAAGCGGTGAGATGTCTGATTTATACTCCTAATTTTAATAGGCTATGTTGTGTTTTTGTCAGGACCTTTATGTGATGTCAGAATTGGTTTATCTGCGTTTTGTTTAGTGTTTTTGATCTGCAAACAAAACAGGGTAACACTTTACTTGAAGGGGTGTGCATAAGACTGACATGACACTTTCATAATCATGACATGACACATGTCATGAATATGAAGGAGGTTTTATGCATGTTTATGACAACTGTCATTAAGTGTCATTCGCTCAGTTATGTCATTTTTAATGCAAATATGACATTATTTGACCTAACCCTAGCCTAACCCTACCCCTACCCTTACCCCTAACCATAGCCCATAACAAAGACATCTCAAACAATGTCATCTTTGCATTAAAAATTACATAACTGAGCGAATGACACTTAATGACAGTTGTCATAAACTTGCATAAAAAACCTTCATATTCATGACATGCGTCATGTCATGATTATGTATGTGTCATGTCATGATTATGAAGGTGTCATGTCAGTCTTATGCACACCCCTTCAAGTAAAGTGTAACCCAAAACGGTAACTATGTTGGCTTCTTTATAGCTGGTAAATTCAAGTCAGTTTTATTTGGTAAAAAAAAGTTTGATTTGCGTATTTTACCAAACTGAAGGTGGTATGAATTTGTTGCAAATGCTTTTTGTGTCTATTCTATTAGAGAAGTTTCCAGAAATTTATTTTGTGAAAAAAATAAGTTACTAATAAGAATACTTGTCAAATATGCACTATGAAATTAATGCTGATCAGTTGCTGATTATAAGTATGAAGTATAATCAAACAGGCTATTAAACAGGCTTGAAAAATCACACTGAATCTCGTATAATTTAAGAAAAAAAAGAAGTGAAGTAAACTGGTAAAATGACTTTGAGGGGTTAAAGTAACTGAAAAACATATGTTACCATGACTCATTGATCAAATCATATTTTGTTCTTGTAATAAACAGTTCACAGAAGTAAGTTTCTGTTAGTAAACAGCATCTCTGTCTCATTTAAGGGTGCCGCTGTCCAAGAGGTGGGGCCAGGCAATGGTGATCCTTCACTTCCTCAGGTCTATGCCCCACCTCCTTCATATCCTCCACCTGGACAAGGCCCACCCACACCTGTTGCCCGGCTGCCACCCCTCGATTTCAGCGCTGCTCATCCAAACTCTGAATATTCAGATCATCATCAGTTGAGAGTTTATCAGGGCTCTCAGCATGACGGGACGGAGTCTATAACTACTAATAACACGGTAAGAACGATTGACAAATGACTGAATTCAGATGATAAAGGGTGTTTTAAACATTAGTTAACAGAGGGGAGCATCTAAAGTACATGTAGACAAATAATTAGTTTTACATATATTTTACAACTTAACGTATGAAATAATGAGCTAAACTAAAATAACTCAATATATAAATCAAGCACAAAAAATTATTCAAATAATCAAATTTACCTAAAACCTAGCAGGGCCAATATGACTATGAAAAAATAAGATTTTGGGAAACAATGTCCCACTACTGTGAATTGTGTAGTTCAATCAGCGTTTATTAATTTAAAATGTTTTTTCATTAGAGAAGGTATGTCAGGAATATATATAGGCTGCTGATATATAATCCCATGCTTTGGTCCTCTGGGATCCCCTGTCTGAGCTAAAAATATCTTTATGTCCTTTACATATCCTTCCTTTGCCTTATCCAAGTATGGTAGTTCAACTCGCTCAGGGCACCATATAGAAGGATATTTAGGCTTATTATGGAAGAAAAACTGACCTTACTTCCTTTTCCAGTTTCTAGTTCTCGTTTCAAAGAGGGAATAGTTTGAAGTAACCTTATATGTTTATATAAAAAGAAATTCAGTGATGTGTCTGAATATTATGTTGCAGGGAAACAATTCATTGTACTCTACATTTACTTTTAAACTGAATCACATTCAGTTTGATTCAGAATCAAGTGTTTTCCAGTTAATATATGAGCTAGGGGTTTTCAAACTGGATCTAGGGAGCTCCAGGGTGCCACAAGATGGTGTTGCTGTCTGCAAACATTTGAGAGCAAGGGGAGAAAAAATTCTAAAAAATTTATTTTTTCTTTCCGATCAAATGAGAATGATAAAGCTGTGGGGGTCCTTGGCATCAAAAAGTTTAAACATCCCTGATATAAGAAATTCAGTGTTATGAATGCAAAGACATGCATTTACTTTTTTTGTGTGTGTGTGTGTTTTGTTTTGTTTTGTTTTTTAAAGCACCAGTAATGAGATGTCAGCCATGAATCCAGATGTAAATATTGTCTTTAAAGAACAATCTGTAATTACTGAAATATTGTCTTTTGGACTCATGCCATAGCTTTAAGTTGTTTGATGCATATCACCAAGTGTATGATTGCTATTTTTGTGTTACTAATGGCTCATCGGGTACAGTAATTGCATAAGGCCATTTTAAGTTACAACAAATGCTTGTGCCAAGGGAATTGTGAGAAGGGTTGAGAATAATATTTCACCATGAAAGTTTTTTTTTTTTTTTCACTGAAAAGGTTCATGCAATGAGTGCTCTCTTTCTCTGTCACACTTTCCACATTGCTTATATCACTAGAGAGCACCAGATATTGGGACAATGAGACGCCGCCGTGGAGGGAGGGGTCAAGGGGGGGAGTCGGATGGGATGACCCCTCCCCCCTCATCTATGTTTCCCAGGTCCAGTCAGAAAAGCACTCTGCATCGTGACGTGATATCATCACATACCTTCCCATCACACCTTTCCCCTCCTATCTGTCACTTCTCCCAAAAACCCTCCCTGGCCTGTGTCTCTGGATGAATGTAATGATGATGATGATGATGATGATGATGGTGTTTCAGCTGTATTTCCTGTGTGACACCTGCTGTGGTAGTCATTACAGCTAGCAATCAGCCCGGCCAGCTCAGAGTTAACCATAACCATGAATTGTTTGCGTGTGTGGATGTGTCTTTGTGCGTAAATCTCTACGTGTGTTTCCTACCACTTTCTTCCTTATTAATACAAAGTTCTGTCCCGGTTCCAAAAATAGCTGTATACATTGTTGCAATTTTGCAGTTGACCTTTAAAGTTATATGCCAAAATGCATAAGCTGCTTTGAATTCCCCTGTGTTTAGAGCTTCTGTCTTTCACTTTCTGATTTGGGGTTCACTCGGTTCTAGACCCTTCCTAACCTTCTTGACGTATTAGGATTACTCTCATCATTTCTCTTTTTTGCTTCTTTATTGTCTTTTATCACTAAATGCTGATTCTGTTTATTGTACAATGCAGTGGAAATTAATTTTAATAGAGAAATAGAATGACTGTGGAATTATGCAACTTCTGGTGAAATAGAGCGAAAGTGAGAAGATTAATTAAAGTTTCATTTATCATATTTAAATCTAGGGATACACTGATATTTAAATTCTGATGATGAAGACTGATACAGATAAACAATATTTTTTTTATGGGCAATAATCTATAAATGACCAACAATATAGGTCTATAGTTCTTTTTTTTTTTTTTAAGAAAATTATTTTTTAATTTTAAAATAAAAATTAAATAAGCATAACAGCATAGTAATGTTCAGCATGAAAGATGGAAAAATCGATTTGAAAAGTATATTGTGTGAATCAGGAGGGACATCTGGGATGATGGTTAAAAAAATAATAAAAATGGTAAAAATGAAAACTGTAGAATCAAAGGAAGGGAACATGATGAACCGAATGCACCCCTATTTTTCTGCCCGGATTAGAACTGTTTTGTTGCCTTTTACCCTTATGGATGAGTTAAAGCAGAGGTGATTTTGCCTTACTGCTTCAACTTTTTCCATCCTTATGAAATACATAAGAATTGGCCATTTGTCTGTCCTTCTTTCTTGTTCTAATGACCATTCTTATCATTTGCATAACATTTTTTCCACTGCTTTTAAATTCACGTCACACGATTCGTTGTGCTATCACAATTCCTTTTTTTATTACTTAAATTTCTTTTTGACCTTTTCACCATTTTCCCTTCCTCTTGTCACGCTCTGCTTGGCTACTCTTTTTCTTCTACTTATTTCTCTTTTTGAAGATTTTAATACACCTTTTTTGACTACTTAATCCATTTTTTAATAGTAACAGTTTTGTGCCGTTTGGTGAGGTAGGCTGTGCAGACATACGAACTGGCATCGTGATGCATTGTGGGATAGTGGATGCGTTGGGTTTGAAGCACAAATACTCCTATTTATTGATCTGCATGGGGGCATTTTATTCACAGTCATGTACAATCAGTGCAATAGGAAATGCTGTGTAACCATGCATTACATAGACAATATTTCAGTTGCAGCGCTCATAAAACTACACATTGTTTAGTATGCTAGTAATCTTTAATGACTTTCAGCTGCTGATTTAGTGACTTCACTGAAGTTAAAATATGATTGTGCTCTAAGGAAATTGTGGTTTTTATGTCTATGTCTAACAGGCATGTACCTAGACAGCTCACTAAAATGGGAATTTGTCACATTTCCTCACTTTTGCTTGAGAGGAATCACTGGATGAGGAATGCTCCTTTGCGTTTTGTTGTGGTCACTTTATAAAAACAGTTTTTCTCCCAGTAAAATGTTAGATTGCAATAAGTTTGACAAGAAATCTTACAATACATAAGCAGTAGTTATAACGGTTTGATGTAATGAAATACATACTAATGTTTCTTCTGTTTTTCTATTCTTCTTTTTAACTTCCTCCTCATTCTTTCTATGTCTGTTGCCTCCTTCTCCACATTTTCTCCCTCCCTATCTTTCATTCCTGTTTCCCTCATAGGACGATTCTTTAGTGCCTGTGACATCTGACCCACAGTCTCTCAGTGTTTCTGTGGCGTCTGGAAGTGGAACTGAGGAGGAAGGAGCTGGGAAGGCTCAACCCAAAAGGCTCCATGTTTCCAATATCCCTTTTAGGTTTCGGGACCCAGACCTGAGGCAGATGTTTGGGGTGAGAGAGTCTGTGTTTGTCCCAAATGTGATGCATTACTCAACTGGCTTTTGTGCCATTTTTACTCAGCCTCATGCTTTACCAAAACTGTAAGGCTTTCTTTTGCAGAACACAAAATAATAAAAAAATTTTTTTGATGTTTTTTGTACACTTTTTGTTATACAATTAAAGTCAGTGGGGTCCAAAACAACACTGGAACCATCTGACTTTCATTGTATGGTCAAAAAAAGATTTGTCTTTTGCATCTCACAGAATAAAGTCAGTCATACAGGTTTGACACAACATAAGGGTGACTAAAAGATGACCGAATGTTCATTTTTGTGTGAATTTACCCTTCATATAAACCCATTCTCTCACCTGTCAACTGTTTAGTCAATATCTGTCTTTCATCTCTCAGCAATTTGGCAAGGTTCTAGACGTGGAGATCATCTTTAATGAGAGAGGATCAAAGGTCAGAAGATTCCCAGGCTTGTGAGTTAGTTGCTTCTTTATTTGAGTTTCAACTGGAATTCAGTTTGATTTCTTTAGGGGTTTGGATTTGTGACATTTGAGAGTGCAGTGGAAGCAGATTGTGCAAGAGAGAAACTCAACGGAACGATTGTCGAGGGAAGGAAGATTGAGGTATGAGGGTGATAAGTTTCTGTGTTGGGAGAATGGACAACTGAACAACTGAACAACTAAATGACTCTGCTTCTTAGGTGAACAACGCCACAGCGAGGGTGGTAACAAAAAAGCCTCAGACGCAATTAGTGAACAGTGAGCTTCCTTCATAATATTCTGCCCCAAAATGTTATGTTTTAAACTTGTTACTCCTTTTTCAGTATGAAAATAAAGGGTTTGTAAAATTCAACTCCTCACCTATATGTCAACTCCTGTAGCTGCTGGGTGGAAAATCAATCCAGTAATGGGAGCCATGTACGCCCCTGAACTTTACACAGGTATTTTTAATCTTGACTTTTATTCCATTTTTGAGTTAAAAATATAATAGCTACTAGACATTTCCTGTCATAGACTGACTGTAGTACACGCAATTTGTTGTTTAGCCATCTCATTTTCACTTTTTTGGTTTAATAGTTGCCAGCTTTCCTTATCCTGTTCCCACACCGACCTTGGCCTACAGAGGCTCTGCCCTCCGTGGACGTGGTCGGGCAGTTTACAATACAATCCGCTCAGCTGCAGCCGCAGCCACACCAGCTGCAGTACCAGCCTATCCAGGGTCAGTAGCTCTTGTTACACATTTAATTAGGATTTACACTACACTGGTATTATTGGTTGAAAAGACAAAGTAACCCTTTCTTTGCACCTATGTCATTGTATAATTTACAGTAAGCTTACATTAAATTGTATTTTTTATTTATTTTATGCCATTGTGTAATTTACTGCTTACTTTATGTCTCCTGCAGAGTGGTGTATCAAGATGGATTGTATAGTGCTGAGGTCTATGTAAGTTACCAGTGAACATTACCAGCACGTTACGTTTCGATAGAAATTTGCTTGCTCAAAATAAAATCACAAGACGAGTTATGAGTAGTGTTGTGGTTAAAGGTGTGGGCTGCAAGTTTCAGAGTGAGTTCTGTAGAGAATGCATGTGACAATTCGTACACTGCCAGGATCTTGTCATGCACTGTTGTCAAAAATAGACTTCTGCTACAAATAACTCTAAATTAATTGTCCAATGAGTGACACTACAAAAAAGCTGAATTGATCTCCAAAGTGTTTTACTGACCTTTTAATCAGCCAATATTTTCTTTTTTATCAAGCTTAACTCCTAACCCTGTCAAGATGAATATCTTACCTAAGTTTTTATATATCTTTCAATCTCTCCCAATTCATATCCCACCATTCTTTTTCACCCCTCTTAATGGTTTGATCAGGCATTTCATATGGTGTGGCAAAAACCCCAGAATTAGTCTTGACAAATTAGCTTTAGACTATGATCAGGGAGGTTTAAAATGACCAAATTTCAAATTGTATTGGGCAGCACATTCCAGATATCTGGCCCAGAGGTTCCTTCATGGCTCAAAATAGAATTATTTGAATTAAATGAGTATGTTCCCTTGGACATGCTGTATAAATGGGATGAGAAATGAATTTAAATGGTAACCAACAAAAAGACATTGCAAAAGACATTTGGACAGAAAGAGTTTATTTCCCCTAAGACACCAATGTGGGGCAACAGATTGCTTCCAAAATGTTTTCAGAATAAATACTTAAAAATATAGGCTGATAAAGGAAATATTTATCTAGAGAAATGCTATGAGGATAGAATATTATTGTCTTTTGGACAGCTCAAATCTAGGTATAGTTTAAGCAATAAAGATTTTTTTGGCTACTTACAGCTGCGTGACTTCCTAAGAGTAAAACCCAACTCATTTTAGTTTAACACAGCTAGAACAATTGGTTTATTCGAGCCGACCAGCCTATAAAATAATCTCTGATATTATTCTGATGTTATTCCTATAAATCTGTGCTTATATGTGGTTAATACTTGTATACCTTTAGAAAAGCTAACATACTTAAGAAATAAAAGTAAAATATTTTACAGAGTTTGGCAACCCTTCCTTGTTTATATGGAAAATACACCAATAGACCAGATGGAATTTTCCCCTGACTAAGATATTACAGATGAATATTTGTATAGGTGTATAGATTTTTTTATTTTTATTTACTTTCCTATTTATTATAAATTTTACTTCTTTCTTAAATGTATTGTATTTTATCTTTCATTTCTGTCTAGTTCTGTTGTGTCTTGTTTTGTCCTGTATTGTGTGATGTGTAAGTAAAAAAAAACAAAAAAAACTAACTCCTAACTCAAACTCTAACCTTTAATCTACTTGGATATTTGGAAATTGAATTTCAAATCTAAAATAATTTTTTAAGCTAATAACCTAACACCAGGCTGCTCCATGGGAGCATTCATGTAAAATGTTTTGCAATTCAAATTGTTTTCTGAATTAATAAAATTGTAATGCAATACTTAAACCATCCTGTCTTTAGGGAGGATATCCAGCCACATATCGAGTGGCCCAGACCACCTCAGCAGCTGCAGCAGCCACATACAGTGATGGGTAAGAACCTTAATCTATCAGTCAATCTATCCATCCATCCATCAATTCAATCAATTAATCTATCTATTAATTAATTAATTAATTAATTTATATTAAGATATGGAAGAGTCTATACCACAGCAACAGACCCCTACCATCACTCAGTGGGACCCACCACCACTTATGGAGTTGGAACAATGGTAAGTTACAATGTAAAATTCCGCACATGGCGAATACAGTCAGTTGTAATTAAACACTTTCTTGACTGACTGATATAATGGAATGTCTGATTTATTCTATTTCTTTACAATCAGGCAAGTTTGTATCGTGGAGGCTACAACCGCTTTACTCCGTACTGAATGAAAACAGCTCTGTGACTCACGTCTGACAAATGAAGAGACTTCAACTGCTATCTGCTGAGGAACCATTTGATCTTGAGATTGTAAATACTGCTAATATTTATTGGGGAAAAAGATGAATCTAGGCTGAAAATATAATTAATTATATTTAAGGACATTTATTTCATTCTTAATTTAAGAAAATACCCCACCCCAAAAAAAGAAAAGTACATACTTATCAGACAGTGTCTAGCTGATCGTGGTGCTGTTATGTACAGTACATACAGATACTTTCATAATAGTGGTGTGATATGGAACTTATCATAAAGAAGTTATCAAAAGATATCATATAGTTATCGAGGCTCACAGGAAGATGATAGGCCTCACAAAGAGTCCCAAAACACTACTTTTATTACAACCTCTGGAATTGTTGCACTGCTGAATGATGATAAACAATAGACAAAGATAGATACCTCTAGTGGAACTTCCCCTAGACTGAGAAATAAAAAAATCTGAACCTGTCTAGTATGTATATAGGACTTATAGGTCTGCGTGTTGGAGTGTCTTTGGAGTGTGTGTAATTTTTATGCTGTCACAAGCAATACTGTGAGATACAGCAATGGCACTGAGGTGGGTGATATGTTCTCTCTCAATGTAATCTACCTCTGAGCTAAACATCTCTTTATTCTAATGCAAACTATTCATCAGCTTTCTTATGCAGCTATTTCAAAATCTTCATTTTTTTGTTTTTACAAAAAAATGTGGTACTTTCCTCTGATTTTCTCCTGTCATTTCCTGTTAAGTCATGCTGTTCAGTATTTGTGGTCCACTCGTCTTTTTTTCTTTCTGTTTTTCTATCGTCGTTCAAATGCTATTTTTGCTTCAGTAATGCTACTTCTGTATTCTAATTCTGTCTTTATTCTTATCTTTTGCCACTTAAACTTCTTTCATGCTTATTTTAACTTGTTGTGTGCTTTACCTCCCTTTACTGTTTGCTTTCAAATTCTTAATTTTATCTTAACTATAGGCTATATGTGCATTCATTTCTGCTTAAAGGAACACTCCACTATTTTTGAAAATAGGCTCATTTTCCAACTCCCCTAGAGATAAACAGTTAACCGACGGAAAATGAAGAGTTGTGATTTTCTAGGCCGATATGGCTAGGAACTATACTCTCATTCCGGCGTAATAATCAAGGAACTTTGCTGCCGTACCATGGGTGCAGCAGGCGCAATGATATTACGCAGCACCTGAAAATAGGCTAACTTCCGTCAGCATAACCATAAACTCAACTGTTTAACTCTAGGGGAGTTGGAAAATGAGCCTATTTTCAAAAATAGTGGAGTGTTCCTTTAAGATAATTTTTAAATGCCAAATTACTGAATCAAAAATGATTAAAAATTTATTTTGAAGACTATTTAAATGTTTTCTATCATCTCTAGAGAACTGTTCTGAGCCATTCTTTCTTTCTTTCTTCCTTTCATTCATTCCTTCCTTCCTTCCGTTCTTTCTTTCGTTCTTCCTTTCTTTCTTCATTCATTCATTCCTTTCTTTCTTTCTTACTTTTTCTTTTTTGCCTGCTTTGCTTGATTGTTTTCTTCTACTACTAAACTTTCTCCTTTAGTGCCTCTAGAATCTCCTTTGCACTTTGATAGTCATTTCCCACCCCCTTTTAAAATTTCCTGCTTTATTTGTTAGTTTTTTTCTCTCTCACTGTTTGATTTATTCTTGTTTCCATTTCTCTGTTCCTCCTTTTATCTCTATTTCATTCTTTATCTGGGCTGATTTTGCTGTGCTTTCACTCATATAAATCTCTGTGATCTTGTAATCTGATTCTGTAACACGTCTTTCACTTTGACGCTCTCAATGTGCCTACAAGGCTTATTATTTATTCTTATAGCTAATTTCCAACTAATTTTGCCCCTTGGGTGCTTTTCATTTTCTGTCTGCTTTCTTTTCACCTCTCTGTTCTTCTTTTTCTGTATTTAACCTGTTATGTTTAAGATTTCCCTGCATTTCTTGTAGTGTTCTATGTAGAGTTTTTTTTTATTTTATTAGTTTAGTTAATTTAATCATTTCATTCTCTTTTTTCTCTCTTTCTACCAGACAGCTTAATTATTTTATCTCACAGCTATTACAGGACCCTATGTTGTCATTGCTGTATCATGTGTTTTTTTTCTCTCTCTCTCTTTTTCAACTTACTAAAGTGTAGGCCACTCTGTGGCTGAATTGTACATTAAAGCAGTTTAATTATGTTTCTGTCTGATCACTGAAGAATATTGAAGAAATTAGTCGTTGCATTACGTTAATTTTGAAACATAACAACAAATAACACTTTTCTGAGAAGGTGAAGCCTAAACATTTTTGAAATTATATTTCTGGTATTTCAAATATGTAGGCTAATGCCACACCTGTCTTACACCTGTCAAATGGGAATTTTTTCATTTTTTAAATCTTTTAAGTCCTTTTCATGTATTCATTTTCCCTTTTTGACTACTGCACATCTGTGGGTTTTATTTTGCTTAAAGCATTCAATGTAATGACTGAGAAACTGACAAAACCTGTTGCTCACTACTATTCCATGACAGAGGTTATATAACTGTATAAACATAACTGTGACTTTGTATGACCATTATCACAAGTAGCTTATTCTTTAGCATGATGTCGTTACTTTTCTTTGAGTGCTCATTTTACATGTAAATAGCTAAAATCACAGTACAGCCAGTGTCTTTAACTGATGTGTATCGTCATTTTGTCAGATGACATTGTGGTTATAAATCAGAACGGCAACTTGGAAATGGATTGGAAGTGACTACTGGTTAAGATATATTCTTAAGGGACTGAGTTTCAATCATGCAAAGCAATTTCTTTTTCAAAAAAGTACCTACCCAGATAGTATGCGATTTCAGACACGGCCGAAGATATTACAAGCAGGTGTTCCAAAATATTCGGTGTCTGAGACATTCAGTTTTACTGAAATCAATATTCATGAGTTTCCTGTTGGAGCAACAAAAAAATATTAGTGCATATGCTCCCTGGATCACAGAAACAGTTTTCAACAAGGTAATTATGTTTCAGTTTCTAAAGAAACTAGTAACTAATAACTAGATACTAATAAGTTTAATTGCTTCTGATTCTTTCCTACACTACTCCCAAAATGTCTGTATTATGTTTGGTGAGCAGGTACAAAATTCTGTGAAAGGCCGGCTTGCTTCACAGCAGCAACAAATGCACAAGTACAACCAGAGTGTAACAAGGTTCAGTGTATGGAAGGAAGAAGACAGGGTTGTCGTGACTGGAATTCATAGGTGGAGTGTGAACCAACTCCAGGGTAAGGCTAAAATAAGCCAAATGTATTAAACATCATAAACCCGTCATTTTAGACAAGGACCAGGCATGGGTGTCATGTAGGCTAAAAAAAATGTTTAATGGGACTGAATTTGTATTTAACGTGATTACAATTGAATAAAAACGTTAGAAATGGATAATTCCAACCTTAAAACCTTTCCACGGTTATTCAAACAGGGAATAAATTATATATAGAAAGTGACATTATCAGTAACATTGATCTATCGTGAGTTTTAGCACTCTCAAAAAAACAAAACTATCGTTATAATCACTGAAGCTGTATACACTGTGAAATTAATCTCTTACTGAAATTAATCTCTGATGTACAGCACCGGCCGCTCCTCACCCTCTATCTCCTAAGACAGGACCGCTCCAAGCCCCCTGTCCAGTCTGCAACAAAAAGGGGAGAGAAAAGTCAGGGGAGTGCAAAAGCGGCCCGCCACACAGAACAGCCTTTATCTGGGTGAAAGCCTGCTGGCACTGATCCGTCCACTGGACCGGATCTGGTGCTTCCTTTTTAGTGAGGTCAGTCAGCGGGTTGGAGAGGTCTGAATAATTAGGTACAAACCTTCTATAATATCCCACCAACCCCAGGAACTGCCTCACCTCCTTTTTGGTCTTGGGCCGCGGACGGGTTGCAACTGCTGCCGTCTTATCAATTTGGGGACACACCTGTCCATGACCCAAGTGGAAGCCCATATACCTGACCTCCACATGCCCGCAGATGCTGCATATGATGCTGCCAATCATTACTATAAATGATTATGTCATCCAAACATGCAGCGGCATACACTGCGTGCGGCCGGAATATTCGGTCCATGAGATGCTGAAAAGTGGCCGGAGCCCCGAACAACACCAAGGAAGCATAACAAATTGGTATAACCCAAACGGCGTGGTAAAAGCTGTTTTCTCTTTGGATAGGGGTTATAAAGGGATCTGCCAGTATCCTTTTGTTAAATCCAGTGTCGAGTAACCCCCACTATTGGATATGCGTCGAATTTCGACACAGCATTCGCCTTGCGATAATCCACACAGAATTGGACAGAGCCGTCCGTTTTGGGCACCAAAACTATCGAGCTCGTCCAATCACTGTTGGATTCCTCTATTACTCCCATATCTAGCATCGCCTCTAATTCAGTCTGAACTACCTTTTTTTGTGTTCAGGCAGACGATACAGCCGACTACGCACCACCACGCCCACGTCTCAATATGGTGCTGAATGAGGTTCGTTCGGCCAGGCAGGGGCGAGAACACATCCGCAAATTCTGCTTGCAATTTGGCCACATCAGTGATCTGGGAGGGTGAGAGGTGATCTCCCCCTGAGGCCAGGGCAAGAGATTGTTTTTTAGAGCTCACTTCTGGCCCAAGATCTTCCTCTCCGCTCACTGCCGTCACCAGCATCACTGATTCCGCCCTGCTCCATTTTTTAAGGAGATTGAGGTGGTAAATCTGATGTGCCCCGCTCCTGTCTGTTCGTACTACCTCGTAATTGAGATCTCCAACTCGTTGTGTGACCTCGAAGGGCCCTTGCCACTTAGCGAGTAATTTAGAACTAGAAGTTGGGAGCAATACAAGCACTTTATCTCCCGGTGCAAATTTGCACAATCTGGTTCCCCTGTTGTACAGCCGGCTTTGTTTGTCTTGAGCCTGTAACAAATTCTCCATATACAGCCGCCCCAAAGCGTGGAGTTTTGTTCTCAGGTCCAGCACATACTAAATTTCATTTTTACTGTTCGAAGGTCCGTCCTCCCAAGTCTCTCTTAGGACGTCCAGCACCCCGTGGGGCTGACGGCCATAGAGAAGCTCGAAGGGGGAAAACCCTGTGGAGGCTTGAGGGACCACGGGTACAGGGAACAACAGGGGTTCCAGCCATCTGTCCCAATTTTTGGAGTCTGTGTGAACGAATTTACATATCCTGGTTTTTAACGTGCGATTAAATCGTTCCACCAGGACGTCCGTTTGTGGGTGATAGACACTGGTGCGAATCGATTTAATGCCCAATAATTCATAAAGTTCGCGGAGAGTTCGTGACATAAACGCCGTGCCTTGGTCGATGAGAATCTCTTTCGGGATTCCCACCCAGGAGATTAAATGAAACCATGCGTCAGCTACGCTTTTTGCAGAAATGCTGCGGAGCGCCACTGCCTCGGGGTATCATGTTGCATAATCCACCAGAAGCGGTGAACTCCATGCCCAAGAGAGGAACTACCCCTCCACCGGGGTGTGGCTCGTGTAGGGAGATGGACAGGAAAGAGAGGGAGAAAGAGAGAAAGAGAGGGAGAAAGCACAGAGGAAAGAAGAGAGACAGATGGCAAGGATTCGCCGGCCCCGGTGCAAGCCACCATCTGATCCGCCGCAAGTTGGTTGGCCTGTTTTAGCGATGCTGGGCGGTACTGGACACAATGCGCAGTCTTCTTGGGCAGACGTGCCACGAACTGCTCCAGTACCTCCTTGTCGATGGTTTCCTCGACGTCGCTTCCCCCGGCCATCGGCCATCTGCGGCAGGCGTCCCGGAGTTGTTGCGCCATCACGAAGGGTCGGCCACTTTCTCTAAGGTCCAAGGATCTGACGCGCTGACGGTGTTGCTCTGGACTCAGGCCGACCTGCTGTAGGATGGCACGTTTCAGGTCTTGGTAGACCAGCTCCGGAACAGCTCGCGGTCTTCCTGTTGTGCCTGGACGAGGGCTTCGAAACACTGTTCTTGGTCGTCCCTCATGCCCAACAGTGCCTGATGGTGCTCCTGGTGCAGACCGGCGAGCGATTGAATGACCTCCGCAAACGGCATACTAGGCGGGGATTGCATCATGGCAGCGGCGATCTTCTTCCTTCTCGGGTTTCGGCACCAGTGTAACAAGGT